CCGGAGAGAACCCACGCTGCACGGGGAGAACATGGAGACTCCACGCAGAAAGATCCCGGGTGTTCTCACCGGGACGCGAACCGGCGACCTTCTAGCTGCGACGCAACAGTGCTACCAACTGCTCCAACTTGCAGCCCCCGAGTTGTACAATGAGCGATAAAATCAGTTGCCGTCATCTGCTCTCCCCCCCTAAAGTTGTGAAACGTCAAAATGAAAGTAAACCAGCGTCGCACTGTGTATCTACGACTGTCTCTTGTGTCTGTGAATTTCTGTTTAGACTTCAATCCCTCTGATGCTGCTGTCTTACATCACACTGTCGAGCTGCAACAATTCGTCAGACAGCTGCCAACTATTAAGTTATTTGCCAACTATTTGGATAATCGATGAATCAGTCGGTAATTTTTGAGTAAAATGGTTGAAATCATCTGATTGCAGTTTCCTAAATTTGAATATTTTCTGGTTTCTTTACTTCTATATGACAGCAAACTGAACATCTCTAGGACGAGCAACATATTTGAGAACATTATCTTGAGCTTTGGGAAGCACTGCTCAACATTTATAACCATTTTCTGACATTTTATGGACTGAGGAAACCATCAAGTAATTGAGAAAATAATCAGCATTTTAATCAACAATGATCATTAATTGCTGCACATTCCTCTGTCTCGCAGTCGGTCAAACTGTCTGTGCAGCGTCTGACTTTACATCTGTGCCTGTAGGTCTTTCTCCAGGACTCTAAAGCTTTCCTCCTCTATAAATTATTCTGCCAGTCTCTCCACACACACCCGTCTCTCTGCTTTAGCCTCAGTTTGTTAAAGTTTAGCTTTTCTGTTTGAGGGATTTGGCAAAAAAAAAAAAAACTGGATTAATCAGCCAACCTCTGAGCAGTAAATGAATATATGACATTTCTCTCCTTTTTTTCTTCAAGTCCTGGAAAGTCATCACTCCAGCTGCGGTCCGGCGGATGTTTAAGAAGGCTGAGAAATTCAAATTCTTCTCATAATCCCCAGAAAGGCTAAGCCACCCCACTACCCGTTGTGTTCATCAAGCCAAGGTGCCAGTGAATTCTTTCGCTGTTTTAAGCAGCTTACAGAGTTCAGTTGATCCGATTTAAACGTTGACAGAGAAAAATATGTAAAAAGGAGGGGGGTGACGAGAAAGCAATGTGGCTTGGGCCGGCTGGTTTGCCCTTTTTCTCCGATGGGGGTAAAACACAGCCTGTTCTAAGGAAAGCACAGTGTCTACTGGCTACCTCAATCTAGAAGTTACCTTTTAATATCATTTTGGTTTATTCTGGGTGGGAAAGAGAGAATTCACACTGGTTCCTTTCATCTCTGATTAAGTGAACTGGACAGTAGATGATTAGCAGCTGTGGCTTCAGCATCAGCGATGTCAATCTGTAGCAAAGAAATTCATGTTGATTGACTTTATCCAAAAATACTTTCAGTCGCTTTTACAAATAAAATAAAATAAAAATGACCAAGCAGCCTGAAACGCCACGCAGTCTGACTGGGAGAAGTGTGTAAGTAAAATGATGTCAAATAATCAATTAGTTAATCACCATTATTGACTTATTTTGGCATTTGATTAAGCAATGAAGTTCGTTTACTGTATAAAAAAAATTAAACGTTTACAGGATCCAGCACCTCAAATGTCTTGATTTCTGGCTTTTCTTTGATTCAAGTCTTCAGAGGATAAAAATGCATCTTGAAGGCATCACGTTAGGGTCTGAAAAAATCACTGGCAGACTTTTACATTTTGTGACAAAGACTGAATAAAAAAATATTCTATGGATAATGAATAAATAACTATGAGTTTCAGCTCAGTGTTGGAGCAATGTAAATAGTACGAGACGACGTGGTGCGGCAAACTGTCTTTAGAGGCTCTGTGACGTAACCTGATGTGACGGGATACGAGCCTTCATGCGCCATCGTCCAGTGTGACATGCTGGGAGCTGTGGGCGAGCTGCTCCGAGTTGGCCGGATTTTAAAAATGGAGAGAAGTGAGGAGCAGTAGACGAAAAGCTCCTCTCCTCTTAGTGGTCTTTCTTTTCTCTTGATCTCTTTCTGACTGACTTACTCCATATACTTGTATCCACGGGGAATGTGCTATTTTAAAACTTAAAAGAGTGACTGCTTTAAAAATAGGACAGTGGAAAGACTTTGTTTTTGAGACAGACAAAAACACAGTTTAGACGTTTAAATCATATCGTAGATATTAGGATGTGTTCTGTGTTTGTGTTTTTTCCCCTCTTGTGCATGTTTATGTTTTGGTCACTTCCTCCTATAAGCCTGTAAACCCTTAAACTTGTTCGCAAATATCCAACACCCTCAGTTCAGTCGGTAACAACCCATCCATCCATCCATCCATCCATCCATCCATCCATCCATCCTCACTGGGGTCATGGGGGGCTGGAGTCTATCCCAGCTGACTCAGGGTGAAGGCAGGTTCACCTGGACAGGTAACCAGTCTATCACAGGGCTACACTTAGAGACAGACAACCAAGCACACTCACATTCACACCTACAGACAATTTACAATCACCAATTAACCTCAGCATGTTTCTGGACTGTGGGAGGAAGCCAGAGAACCCGAAGAGAACCCACACTGCACAGGGAGAACATGGAGACTCCACGCAGAAAGATCCCAGGTGCCCCCACCGGGACGTGAACCGGCAACAGTGCTACCAACTGCGCCACCCTGCAGCCCCTCGGTAACAACCATGAAGCCAAAATAAACAACCCTGGATGAGGATAAACGGCATTTTAGAGAACTTTGAAAAACTGTCACCAGGCCAAAGTAAAAATCTGAGACTTCCAGCAATAATGGACATTTTTACTTCTACCTACTCGAAATTGTCAATTTGAAAGTTAAAACCAGCTTTTACATCTGTTTTTAAAATTCTCAGTTCTAAAACCAACAGGAATTAAACACAACATGACATCCATGTTTTAATCATAAGAGTATTAGACGGGCTTTGCACTGAACGTACCACGCTGTGCAAGCACTGAAAAATGGCAGCAGCTGAATTTTACCAGGTATAGCTTGGCCCTGGATCAGTGACCTCCTCGATGGGAAGTCTATCCTACATGGTGACTGAGCAGGAAATGAGACTGTATGGCGTTCACCACACGTATTTCTGCATGTGTGTTTAAGAAATGTGCCAAGAAAAGAGACTCCAGACACACACGGAGACAAAAAAAACTGAACGCAGCTCGTCTCAGAGAAGAGAGAGAAAATAATGTGAAAAATAAACACGCCTACGCAGGAGGAAACTGAGGGGGAGTGAAAGATCAGTGAGGAGTGATGAAAAGATGAGCCGAATGAGACGCAAAGTGTTTCTGTTTGTCCTGAGGCGATGTCATCCTATCAGACAGACAGCCTCTTTCAGCTCACCTCGCCTGCCTTCCTGCACACAGTAGGCGGATGCTTCCATACAGGACAGCAGCGGCCACTGATGGGTATGAATTTGGCGTCAGTCATATGCTACGGTGTTCACAGTCGCCCTGGTACAAAACACTTCATGCCAAGACGCTGTTGTAGCTGGCAGTAGAAGGTGATAGATTTGCATGTTTACGTCCATGTAAGTGTGTTTTTAAGAGCTGCAGGATTGTGCAAGAGAAGCACCAAACCACCAGAGATAAACAGTGAGTAACAGCGCAGGATATCCTGTATGTAGAAAAACACACAAATACACTAAACGTGAGGCGAACACTTTGAACCAAGCGTTCTGCCAGTGTGCGTTTTTACAGTTTGCTCTCATACTCGAGGCCCTTCTGGATAAAACATACAGAAAACACCTCAGATGTAAAATACTAACTGTACAGTGCTAATGAGAGAGATCAACAGAGAGCACCCAGGGGAGAGAAACAGAGAAGGGTGGAGGGAGGATGATTATCTCCTCCATCTTTCTCTGTCAACTCTTTCCTTCCTCTATCACAACACACACTGCTGACAGACACACAATATTGTATACGCCGTGTACTGTTTTTGGTCTCTGGTGACCTCAGCAAATTCCTTAAATGCCAGCACATTCCTAAAGGTCATAAGGAGGATGATAACGAGTGTGTCTAACAGAATTTTTGTGAGGAAAAAAAACACAGTGTGGTGAATTTTGAAGAAAACGCTGACTACCATCCATGAAAACCCATTTTGACCCGCTATATTCAGACCGAGGTGAAGTCAGTGAACGATAAAGGTACAAGAAATACAAGCAAATAAAAAGAAGCAAAAAAAAAAAACAATAAGCAGTGCAAACAGTGACGGCACACGATATAAACGGAACAATGTGTAAAAGAATGCAACCATTTGCCTCCAGCACTCCGTCAGGCTTCTCCAACACAGCCGAGATCCTTCTCCAAGGATATGAGTTCAGTAAAGCTTTCCTATTTGCTGCTAAGTGCTCAGTTCCTTCTGGCGCCACAGAAAG